CGCAAACTCCACTGTTAACCTCGTGCAGGGCCTTTTCGAAAGTCCAGTCAATGACGTAGTTGATATGCATAGGCATGAGCTCTTCAGCCCTACGTTGATCACCGCCGTATTCATTACTTTCACGTAGAGGGGCATTAATCCGTTCGCTTGTAAGGCAAAAATGCAGCAAGGTTCAATTTACTCAGAGAAGCTTCGCAGGCGAAAGGTGGCAGCCAAGTTATGGATGAAAATACAAGTTAGTGAGGTACAATTCCGACGAGGGCTCAGTTGCGACTGTTCAGATCTTTCAACGCATTACATTTTGTGCCCCACCTGCTTCACAGGAGGCCATTTCCTTAACGACTTTCAGCACAATCGAAGTGATATAGTCTTGTATGAATTCTATAATAATCTGATTTCGAATTTAGTAACTGCTTGTTTGATTAATCATCTAGTATAAATTAATGACCAATCAAGACAAGTACGTTCCTAGAATAACTTGACTTCGAATTGAGTAACGACTTGATTGATGAATAATCTATTACAAAATAATGACCAGTCAATACAAGTACATTACTCGTACCCAAAAGTCCTAGCGCTTAATTGGTACCAAAAGGTACTGTAGTGGTGGGCCTCACTAACGGCGAAGCATATGCGAAAGTGCGATAGACTGAATAATCCCAGGAGGTCTCGGTAACACGAGCAGCCTCCCCTTTAGTCAAAAGCCTTGCTGGTGTGTCATATTTTTCGAAAGCTTCTCATCCTCTTCTTCACTGTAGATGCTGAAAGTCTCCTCAGCCGTCTTATGGAACGCATTGCCGCGGGAATCGAGCCACCAGGCTATCCCACCTCACCGTCTCCCTCCTATCACACTGAGGGTTATCCTGCCGGTGGTTCGTCTTACAACTCTCAAACCCTCGGCCGATCGTCTGACCCGCAGTACTCCCGCTCTCGCCAGATTCAGATCACCTCCCATGCAGGTCTCTTGGTGGTCGTGTTAGACTGTGTGGGACTGCTTACTCGTCGCTTTCCCCACCTCTCCAAGGCCACTCTGGACTGCCTTTCGGATTTCTTACTCAACCCAAGTCCCACTCTCAGCAAGCTCAATCGCACAGCTGGGCGGGGTACAATTGCCAGTCATCGTTCTACCGCCTTGACCGGCCGTCGCGTATGTCCTCAACTTCAGTTTGTTTCCTCTCACTGTCTTCTGTTGATTTCTCGTTTCTCATTTGCGTTCGTCATTCTTCTTCCTCTTCTTCTTCATCATAATCTTTTTCTTATATTCTTTTCTCTATTACTCTTTTCGTTTGGTTTAAAGAAGGTTAATGTTAGTCAGTGCAATTTTCTGAAGCAAGATTGATAAAGGCTAATGACCGTCTTAAGGAAACGCGACTTTGAGGTGGAAGTGCTCAGTAGTAGGTAACTAGCCTCTAGTAATTACACTGTGCGGAATTTTTATGACTTTGAATGCCAGTTGACGCGTTTAAGTACACATGCGAACTCATGCACCCGAGGCTAGGTTATGCGGAGCTTTTATCGCCTGTTTGTTTGTACTTAGATGATGTACTGGCACGTTGTTTGCATCTATCACCAACTTATTTAACCCTTGATTGCTCTGCGAAAAGTTACCTTACAGATTTTGAAAAATGGTACAAGGGTTTTTTGCTGCTGGGTGTTTCTTCGATGTAAAACGTGGCCACGACTGTGTTTTTAACAGCTGTAAAACAAGCAGGGCGCCGGAGGACAGTAAAGCATTCAGTTTGAATTTTTGAGTTAACTGCCTTTGTCGTTATTATGTCACGTTGGTTTAGACGGAGTTATTACCGCTCGCTACAGTTTGCACAGTCAGAAACGGGATCTACACAAAACGAAACTTGTAGTTTAACTTGAATGGTGCCACTGGCGCGACAAACCGACACGCACAAGTTTTAAAGACTTGGAATATTTCAAAATTCCCTCACCAAGGCCTGCCATCTGGATTAACAGTATCCGAACTCACTTGAGACTGATTCCAAGGAATAGCATAACTGAACTCAGAGAACGTCACACCTCTCCGTCGAGGCCTAGTAGCTCTTGTGCCTAGAGCGGTGGACGTATTAGTACAATTGAGTATCTAAGTAATGTTTACGAGCTGATTATCAACCGGTGCTGTCGACCGGATGCTTTCTACATCTCCACTTAACAACTGCGAATGTCTGGGTCCTTTTTTTCCAGTTACCATTGTCATTAAGGTAAATCTTTATTTGGTGCCCAATTATATGTTGCAGATGTGCTTGAATTTGCATTTTTTCCATGCGGAAGGCTTCCTATTACATTGCTTAAAAATATAAAATGACCCTAGGCTAACGATAGTAGCGTTTTGCATACACCGAGGCCTCTTCTCCACCCTGATTAGCCTTCACTCTCAAGAAAGCTTCGGTGAACGCAATAACGCCTGAAACTCCCTATTTCCATGTTTGGTGAGCCAAGTTACTTGGGAGTAGAAAAGGCTGCACTAAGTTTCATCTAGGAGGCAACTTCAGGCTGTTTGGCCTTTTCAGCTTTTATTCACCCATCACATTTTTCACTCCTTTTTTGATTTTCTTTACGCGGGGTTCCACGTACGCTTTGCACAAAACTCATTAAATAATTCTCAAGCGGGCAGACACATTTTGTCATTTCTGCACATGTGATTTCCGTTGTGTCTTAAAGGTCTTCCCTAGCAGTCTGGGATATGCCGGTGAAATTTAACACAGCTTTCTTTGCATTCAGTGACCCATCTCATGAAATGGCAACCGAAATTCGTAACTGCGTTTTTAATCACAAAGGGTTACTTGAGTGGGGTTTTCGCACCAGCCTGCAACAGTATCGTAAGATATTTAAATCACGCCTGGATGCCGGCGTTTGAATCCACCTTTTCCGACTGTCTGAAAAGGCTTAACTCGGTAAAAAACGACTACTTGTGTACTGAGGAAACTTCTATTTTATTAGATGCCCTTATAAATTCAAATAATTTAAAACATATATTCTTACCTGCACTAATTCGATACCAAGTAAATAGGTCTTTAAGGTGTCGACTCCAAGAAGAAGTTTATTTTGGTTGGAGCACATTTTTATTCCTGAGATTTTTATGGACGTGAAATGACCATGAATACAGCATCGTATCTGTCCACGGATAAATTTTCTTATGGAATATGCAATATGGTCCGCACCCATTTCCACATTTTATGAACAATATATCGCATGGGAATGTATAATTTAATTACCTGGTATGTGTCTACCCTGTAGACTGTAAATCCCAAAATACAAGTGCAAGGGAAAATCGGGTGCAACATTGTCAGCGAAATTGGATTTTTTAAATCGACAGATAATCTTCAAGTATAAAATGTCATACTGCTTAAGCAGACATCTTTATCGAGCGTGATCTTCGCGGTCGGCCGAAAGGCAACGCATTTAAAGGGTGGCCTCCACCCGAGTAATCCTTCCTAATTCGGAATGCATTTCAGAATTTTATGAAGTTGACCATGGAATGGGTATGTTGGGACTTTTTGTGGAGGTCAAGTGATTCGATGCGTTTTCGGTAACGTCTCAGCAACGTCGTCCATAATTTTGCTACCCCGGTATGAAATATATCCCTGACTCCTTTCAACCAGTGCGTACAGCATCCTCATGCCACATGCGGTGGAACGCACTTCGTTCGTGGCATTCAGTCTTGTACTTGTCTAAGAAATAACTAGCCGAATGAGTATGATGACAAATGTAATCCCACTTCTATTAATGCATTGCACCTTTCCTTATGTTTTAGAAGTCCTCAGTATAGATATCACCAACTCTTCCCCTTTTTTAGGTTCCACGGCAGGGTTCTTCTACCACTTTGGAGCGTTCCAGTCGTGCCTCTCGGTCTCAACAACTTCTGGATCGTATTCGTGCTACCGCCATCCACAGTCTTTGTCGGTAGGTACTGCTGGCACCTAGTGATTTTGTTTTCCGGGTGGGGTTCTAATCTTCCTCACAGAGGAACCCGAGAGTGCTGTTTTCTTGTGTTAGG